CCCCCCAATAGCTAGCAATCCAAAACAGTCCAGTGGAGCCTGAGTGGTGGGTGTTGCCTTCTGACGCACTTCGGGTGATGTCCGGGGGTGTGGCATATACAAATGAGTTATGCAAATGAGTTATGCTACGAAATGACCCCTGGTAATAATGATAGGGCATTAGTTTTCCTTTCCCCATTCCATATATGTAGTGTGTAGAAAATGCAAAAATAAAAAAATTCGCCTTCAAAGGGGGCAAATAACATGGTAAAAAATAGTTAAATATTCAGAGTTTGCAATGGATCTTTGTTCACTGGAGAGGAGGCATTTTCTTTCTATGAAAAAATCTTTATTACTAAAGGGAAGGGTTCACAGGAAAATCTACAAAACAACAAACACTTAAGACTACATGCTTGCAACAACAGACACACAGATAGTAATGGAGATTCTTCCTTTCTTCTTGACCCCTAGAAGGAAATCACCTGAATACATTAACCAATGATTGTTAGTAAATAGGCTTTAGTTTCCAGGACTTTCTTCCCATTGGCTTTCTTCCAGGTTCCCTTCCAGGTCAGTCTAAACAATAGCACGCAAGCTAAAGCACATTAACCCTATAATGACTGAATTTTAGACCTTGCAGCACACATATTTCCAACACTTTACTTGCCCTGTGTATACTGAACAGACAGTGGTACAGTGTTGCTTCTGCTGGTGGTACTTGTGCCCATGAAGCCTAATACTACTGGTTGCTATTCCAGTAAACTGGATTAGAAACTAGCCATGTGGCAGAGTGGCTTCATACACAAGCCAATCACAGATGTAAAATATGTTTTACTCATCATCTGAGATTTCTTTTATCACAACTCTCTGTAATGATGGCTAATGAAACTGCAGTAAACCTGTTTTTTTAGCTAAGTTGTTTCTAAGCATCCTTGAAATAGCAAGGTCCCCTTGGAGAAAAAGCTACACAAGTTGGGGGCTACAGTGAGGAGTTGGCCAAGGTGACTCCTCTCTTCCCTCGATGGAACATCTGTAGGATACAACCCACTGGTTATAAGGCACCATTCTACCCTTGGAGTTATTTAAATTATAAGAGCCAGGTGCATCTTCCCAGATAGCAGTCAGAGAACATACATTTTCAAGTGGGATCAACTGCTTTGCAAACTAGGTGGGGACGTCTCTTAGAATGGAACTTGATGCTTTTAAAAATGTCATCAGCTTTTTCAGCCAGGCCAGGATCATCACACGATTGCTTATACATGATTGCTTATGCTGCAGTTTTTTAAGAATTTCACGATGAAATGATGGGAATTTGAAGCCTAGAGTGCAAAAAGGGAAAAAGAAAAGCTAAATTGGAGTATTAGTCTGTGATTGCTAGCTTGTGTGTGTGTGAGGGTTTTGAATTTTAGCCAGGAAACATATGAGGGTGCAGGCTGGGAGGTTGGTGAAAACCCCTGCTAGACCCCAGAGTATCCCTAGGAAAAAAGGTAAAGGTTCCCTTGCTCGAAAGCCAGTCGAATCTGACTCTAGGGTTGCGGTGCTCATCTCCGTTTCAAAGCCGAAGAGCCAGCGCTGTCCGAAGACATTTCCGTGGTCATGTGGCTGGCATGACTAAACACCAAGGCGCACGGAACGCTGTTACCTTCCCATCGAAGTGGTACCTATTTATCTACTTGCAATTTTTTGCTTTCAAACTGCTAGGTTGGCAGGAGCTGGAACTAGAGATGGGAGCTCACTCCGTCATGCGGCAACTCGGGTCTCTAACTGCTGAACTACTGACCTTCCACAGCCTGCAGTTCAGTGTCTTAACCACTTGAGCCACCGCAGCTCCCTACAGTGAACCAAATCACTATTAATTCTCATAGTTGTGGGGGAGAACCTGACATGTCCCTTGTATTGTGAGTGACAGGGTGAAGATGTCCTTGTCAAGAGCTCTGAACTCATCTATTCTGGAGAACTGACTAAAATATCCCAGCCTCAAGCCAAGAGCCACCAGAGAATGTTCTTCCTCTTTGATCATCAGCTTGTCTGCTGCAAGAAGGTAAGCTAAGCAAACCGGCACCAGCTCTGCCTCTGCCAGCTCACATGCCTGGCGATAGCATAATTACACCTTTTGGGACGGCTCTTTGCATCTGGCTCTCAAGCATTCCTCTAAAGAAAAGAGCAGCCTGGTGTGTGAAGGCGATAGCATTAGTCTAAGCGTCTCTGTTCATATACATCAAGGAAAGGATATATTATTGCAAATATGCCTACACGACCTTCCTTCCTTCCATCCTGGCCTTCTGTGCATTTCTGAACAGGCAGTTAAAGAAAAAGCCCTGCTGTGAACAAGTCTCCTGTGGTCTTGCAGGAAAGTTACACATTTAGCTTTTATACAATAACAGACAGCCACTGAAAGAATCTGTCAGAATTGCCACCCACATTCTTTCTCAATATCAGTGCAATTTCTATGGTTGTATGAACAGATTAATTCTACCAGTGATTCCAGATGCACATATAAATGTTTATGCCCATCATTCAGAGGCATATCTAAGCAGGAATAAATGATAGACAGTCAACCCAAGAATTTGGGAGAAAGAAAGAATAATAAAAGGCATTACAAGCTGTATAAGCGTGTAAGTGGATGTCACCCTTTTTGTCAGTAACTGGTTCTTACTGTTTGTACTTAATAAGACTTCATTAATAACTTGATCTTGGGATATTCCTTGTACAGTCTGTGCATCACATGAGAATAATCCCCAAGGTGGGTGAACCATTATGCTTGGAAAGCAGGGTACAGATACTGGGTGGGATCCAGAGGAAGGGTAGGGGGGGGGGGAAGCCTAGCTGCTTTGCCACAGGTATTTTCATGGCTGCCAACACATTTTTTAAATATGGGCTCTCATAAGATTCTGTGAGGAATATTTGAAAAAGGGAGATATAGATGATCAAATCAATTTACCCCATACCTTATTTTTTAACATTATTCCTTCTCTGGAGATAACTTTTATTTTTGAGGATGAACATCAAAGGTGGTAAGTTGCACCAAGCTAAATAAAAATGATCTCAGCCTTTAACCGTTTTTAGCCTATGGATACGAATAGTCCAAGAGCCTGTGTGCTAGGTTTGCCCTCCTCCTGTGGCATTATTTATTTATTTATTACTTTAACTTTTACCCCGCCCTCCCCGCCGAGGCGGGCTCAGGGCAGCTTCCACAAAATTGATGAACAATATACAGTTTACAAATGATAAAACATTTCCAACTATTGCAAAAGATGAGCAAAATGTTTACAAGAAATGTGAGTCATATTAAGCACCATAGTCTGTAGGGCACCCTAAATTACCTAATAAAATATGTCTTGTCTTATCTTGTTGGAAGTGCCATTTTGTGTAGAAAGTGTCTTCACACAAAATGTAAAACCCAACATGGTTTTTAGCTAAGCTTATATAAATCAGAGAGCTGCGGTGGCTCAAGTGGTTAAGACGCTGAACTGCAGGCTGTGGAAGGTCAGTAGTTCAGGAGTTCAAGACCCGGGTGCCGCAAGACGGGGTGAGCTCCTGTCTCTAGTTCCAGCTCCTGCCAACCTAGCAGTTCGAAAGCAAGAAATTGCAAGTAGATAAATAGGGACCACTTTGGTGGGAAGGTAACAGCGTTCCGTGCGCCTTGGTGTTTAGTCATGCCGGCCACATGACCACGGAAACGTCTTCGGACAGCGCTGGCTCTTCGGCTTTGAAACGGAGATGAGCACCGCAACCCTAGAGTCGGATTCGACTGGCTTTCGAGCAAGGGAACCTTTACCTTTACCTATATAAATCAGACAGCTCGAAAGGGCCTCCACCTCAAGTATCTTTACATCAGATGATTGGATAAAATTGGAGAGGTGGATTCTAATCTGGAGAACTGGGTTTGATTCCCCACTCCTCCACATGCAGCCAGCTGACTGTCCTTGGGCCAGTCATAGTTCTCTCAGAGCTGTTCTCTCAAGAGCAGTTCTCGCAGAGCTCTTTCAGTCCCACCTACCTCACAGGGTGTTTGTTTTGGGGAGGGGAAGGGAAGGCAGTTGTAAGCTCCTCTGAGATGCCGAGTGAAGGGCGGGGTATACATCCAATCTCCTCTTCCTCTTCTTCTAATATAAACTGACAATATTTTAGTGGGACTTCCTCCAACTAAACACTGTTTATGCTCCTCTAAATTACTTGGAGTTTAAGGAGTTCAGTCCTGCCCAAATTCAGCAAGGATTGAAGCTAATGATATGTACTGGATGATGTCACTGGAATTTCGGATTAAAGGAAAGTCAACTTGAAGGGGATGGAAATTAAACGACACTCACTAACCATCTGTCCCGTTAAGAGACCTGGTACCTACTACTGGTGCGCAAGCCCCCCTTTTTTGTCTTATACCACATTCAGGCTCAGATAAACCAAGCAATTTGATGATTGGCCAATAACTTCAGCTTTCCTAAACTCAATTTTGATTGCTCCCAACCCTATCGCAGTCTTGATGATGTCACTGGGAGCATCAGGGGGCTCCCAAAGCCCCCCACCCTTGCTCTTCTTCATCTCTTGAGCCAACTTGGAGGATTTCACATCCAAATAACCTTTTCCAAGGCTTTGGGGAAGTTATGTTGAAAAATCTAGAAGACCTATGTCCTCCTAGAATCTGGAACCGTCGCTGCAAGATCACTTAATGGGTTTATTCCAGGAGACTGCAACTGATGCAAGTGTAGGCATCAAATCCATTCAGTTGCCATGGAAATTTTGCATAATCAAGGGTTCTTGGCAGAGAGCCTGTACTTGATGTGGAGGAGCTGACAGCTTTTCTCAATACCTTTAATATATTAAATTAGCTAAGGAAACATTCTTCAGAACTGTGTAAGGTTCTTGGAAGATATGAAGAGTTCAAACTGAAGGAGTCCACAGGATTGCAGTGAAGACTTAATTTTTTATTTCTCTTCTCTGACTTTTCAAGGGTCACTGAAACATGAGGCTTTGGCTTGGATTCACTGGGTTTCCACAGAAGGTAAAACTGCCACCCATGGAGTGCAGCTCTCTCCCCGGCTCCCTCCAGGTGCAGCAGGAGGGGGGAGGGAAGAAAGTCATGCTCCGTGGGTAGAAATCCTTCCATCTGTGGAAGCAAGCAGTCAATCCAAGCCCAAGCATTATACACCATCATCTACTAACGCTTTCAATTATATATATATATATATATAGATAGATAGATAGATAGATAGATAGATAGATAGATAGATAGATAGATAGATAGATAGATAGATAGATAGAGATAGAGATATAGAGATATAGATAACCAGATGGTTGGTGTGATTTCATGACAGCTTGCTGAAAATGGAAGAATCTCGCCCAGGAATCAAAACTGGATTCTGCAAGGTTACTTTTACGGTCTAAGGCACATGTAAGGACTTTTCAGAATCCTGCTGATTTGGCCCTGGAAGAATCATCAGTTTATGCTGTAAGCGCTGGAATCGATTACACTAGTCACTAACTCCTCTGTTTCAGCAAAGCAAAGGTTGGCCTCAAAGCCATTGCATCCAAACTTCATCTGTTTGACCAAACTGGACTTTCTTGCAAGGAAAATGTAACATGCCTGTCTATCAATCACATTGTTATCCCACCTTTTCTCCATGGGACTCATACATGGTTCTCCTCTGCTCTGTTTTATCCGCACAGCAACCCTACAGGGTGTAAGTCAGACTGAGGGAGAATAAATGGTCCAAATAAAAGTCAGCTAGTGAGCTTCACTGCAGGGTGGGTATTTGAACCCATGTTTTCCTAGTCCTATTCCAACATTATAACCCATATGCAATATGGTTCACTATACTACATAGGGATGGAAATGAACCAAACCACTAAGCAAAATTCGTCACAAATTTTGCCCTGTTTGTGGTTCGTGAACTGAAGTACATGATGGGTCTACCCTCATGAACTTTTACAAACTTTAAAAGCAGTTCATGGCAGTTCGTGGACAGAGCAGAAAGCAGGGGTTTAAAGGGACTCTGAGTTCCTTTAAACCCCTGCTATCTGTTCTCTGTAGTCCCTTTCAATGGGGCTTCTGGGGAGACTAACCAGTTCAGTTCACAAATGAACCTCCCAGTTTGGTTTGTGGTTCAGTTCAAACTGACATGAACTACATTTTCCTGGTTCGTGCCCATCCCTAATACTACACCTGAGAGTGTCAACCTCCCTAACTAACAAAGGATGCAAAAGATATGACCATTGACTCATGGAATCAAATTATTCCTCATATCCTTTTATGGCAGTGTAAACTCCTATTCAGTATCAGTATGGAAAAACTGCTTCAACTGTAACCAGGGATTTCCTCCTGAATACCAAAGAAATTGAATGTTATCAGGAAACATTTATCATGGGGTGGGCAATAGATGTTTTTAGATTTGAAATCCAGTCATGCACCAGAAGGTTTTTACTTTTGCTTTAGAAGATGGGAAGGTTTTTTTAAAAAAATAGTGGAAAGTTCCATCAGATGAAGCCAAAGAGAGGCATCATGGGGAGAATTCTGTAAATTGTACTTGAAAAAACATTGGCATGGCGAAGTGCTGAAGTATCTACTGAATCTCATACCACTTTATTTGTGTTATATTGATGATATAGTAAACAAATGTGACAGATCTGTTCTCTTTGGCACATGGAATATATTGTGTGAGCGTAGTCAGAATTTTCCCCCTCCATCTCCTTGAAAAATTGCCAGTCATGTTTAGCCAACCCTTTCCCCACTTTTTGGAGAACTTCTTATTAGTGCCAGTTGATGGCACTGACATGATTTATAAAGCAACCCTACAGAGCCAAGGTGGGTAAATAAGATTGCCGACAGGAGGCCTCTTGCCATGGTGGGGAGGCCTGGCAGCCCTGAAGCAACAGTTTTTCTCCCAGGGTAGCTGGATTTCCAGCTGAAATCTGATCTGTACAATCTGGTTTTGCAGACGATAGCCAAATCTAGAGAGGCAGGGAGAAAGAAGCTGATCTCTGAAGAAATCAGACTGTAAATTAGACATTTTCTACAAAAGCTGTAAACTTTATTTGTGGGGTGAAGTCATTTGTAATGCCTGCCTTCAACTATAAATCGATGGTTACAGTCCACAAGGTTCTCCAGCTCAGTTTTTAATCTGGAATTGAATCTGGGGAAGTTTTTCAATTATCATTGATGGGAGACAGATGGCAGATAGAGACAGAGACTGGGCATTTTTGGTAGTGGCACCTCGCCTTTGGGACACCCTTCCCTTTGAAGATCATCTAGTACCTACCCTACAGTTCAGGTACCAAGCCAGGCTTGGGGTTTGTCATTTTAGCTGTTCTATGGATATTTTAAGATGTTCAGTGGTTCTATGCTGTTTTTAATGGCTTGTTTTTATAGCAATAGTTTATAATATTTTTATGTTTTTATGGTATTGTTTTTACTTGTAAGTCACCTCAAGCAGAATATCACAGAATTTTTTATTGACTTCATTTTGGCAAGTCAATTTTATTAGTCTTACTCTACTTTGTGTAGCTTTTGCAGTTACAGCATTTAATGTAATTAGGGGGTGAAACTGTTGACTTTACTGAAACAATTTGCTAAATCTGTTTGCTTGATTTCATTGTCTAAATATATTCTTTGTATAAAAATATCCCCCCCAAAATCATATAAGAGGAGAGACCCTCTGTGACAAATGAAGGCTGTAATGTTTCTCATTACGTTTCCCCAGATACTGTTAGTGGTTTTGTCATTAAGTGAACAAATGCTTTCTGTGTCACAAGGCTGTGTGATACAGGAAGGAGCTCTGAACTCATGTTGGATTGTTTAGTTTACATTTCAGGTTAAAGCATGAGATGTGTTTGCCCTCCTCAAAAATGACGGTGTTTCCTAACACTGCAACAAATAGACTTCTGCACATGTATATAAGAGGAGTGAATGTTATTAAGCAATTTGTAGGTGCTGATCTCAGAGATGATCACTTTGTTACTTAGTAGCCCAAAAGATAGATTCCTACATACAATATTCCAAGAGTGAGAAGCAATGCTGGTATAATTGATATAATCCATTGAATGACACCAATTCCAACATGTTTTTCTTCAACCAGTCCTAGCACAGTAGGGCAGACTAAAAATGTTCCAGCCCTTTTAATGTTAGTACTGTGATACCTCTCCTTCCCTTACTTGTACCCACAAATACAGATGGCAACCTCATATATTTTTCTGACGTAAAGATCTGTGTTGGAAAAACTGTACACTAGTTTGTAATGTGTTTGTAGTTTGCAATGTGTGCCTGCAGCCCAAGTGTCTTTGTGGCCAAATGCTCAGAAAAACTGTGAAGACCCACTGATTTTTTCCCCTTAGGATCTCTTGCGGCGCGATATCCTGTACTATAAGAGCCGAATCAGCATGGACAACATGGAGATCCTGGATGTGGAAGATGGCAAAGACAAAGACTTCAATATCACTGTTAAAAATGCATTCAAGTTGCACTGTAAGGACACAGAAGAAGTCCACTTGTTCTGTGCAAAAAAGCCTGAACAGAAGCAGCGTTGGCTGAAGGCATTTGAGAATGAAAGGATGCAGGTTCAGCTCGATCAGGAAACAGGTGAGCACACAGCCGGAGGGAAAGTGTTACTCATAGTATTACCTGGCTATGGTGCAGACAGAACTCCTCCTCCCCTGAAACATCATACCCATCTCTCCCTTATTATAAAAGAGTAGTGGGTGCCAGAATTCTAAAATTGGCCCCTTTAGTGTTAGGCCGAAAAAACTGCCACTCGGAAGACACTGGCTGGGTTCATTGGCTGCTTTGTGCAGTCCCGGCCAGCGTTCCAAGGTCATTTACATATGGAAGCTGATTGGACTACACTCCATTCCACACCTCAAACCCACCCCCCACCCCCCGTAAGGCAGTTGGAATTTTCAGTTGGGAGAGGAGAATGATGTCAGCTGCTCCCTAGGCAGAGGCTGTGTGTGTGTGTGGGGGGGGGTAGTAAAGACAGACAGGCAGATAAACGTTGGCTGATGGTTGCCAACTCCAGGTTCGAACTCCAGGATATAGGGTTGCCAACTCCAGGTTGGAAACTTTCAGGATATTTTAGGGATGAAGCCTGCTGAGGGTGGGATCTGAGGAGGAGGAGGAAGAGGGGGACCTCAGACAGATACAATGCCATGCTGCCCACACTCCAGACAAGCTGTTGCCAGTCTCCAGGTGACAGCTGGAGAGATCTTAAAGCTTTGGTGCTACTACAAAGTTCCCCAGGAGCCCAAAACAGAGTAGTGTTTCGGAAAATCTTGAGGAATTGTTTGGTGCATTTACGATGGGGCTCCTGGGGAACTATTGTTGCCAATCTTGGCCCAGCAGCCATCAAACCATTCTCTTCAACCCCGTGCTGTGCAGTTGACTTTCCCCTAGGGTTGCCAATCTCCATGTGGGACCTGGAGATCTCCCACTGCTACAATTGATCTCCAGATGACAGAGATCAGTTCC